GAGTCGCGGGGAAGCGCCTGCGGGAACGGGACGTCGCCCGGCTCCGGATTCTCCTCCCGCCCCTTGAAGGAGGTGCGGGCTCGCCGCCGGCGCCCCCCCCAGAAGAAAAGAAGAAGCGGGGAGGGGGGGCATCCAAAGAGACGACAGCTTCCCCCCCCCCGAACCCCGCTGGACCGATTTACTGCACTTAAAAAGCATTTTTATCCCGCCTTTCACCTTAAAAAGGACCCAAGGCGGCTTATATCCTTAACAAGGCAATATATTTAAAAATTACAGCAAGTTCGCTAATACTTAGAAAGATGTAATGGAAATGTTAGATGAAAAATGGCAAATAAAATCAATACCAGAAACATACTGAAAAGCAACAGTTCAACCATCCATTTAAAAAACCCACTCAAGCAGCCAGTCTTAGTTAATTTCTAGTATAAATGAAGGCACCTAATTCGTTTTAATGTTTTTAATCAATAAATCTGTTTAGTATGGTGTGCTTTAAAAATGTTGTGAAGCTACACAATTCATTTTTCACTCCCTTCTTTGTTCTCCTTGAGAAGGAGATACTGTATGTTGTTCAAAGACGATATTTAAAAGCGGAAGCAAGTCAGTAAAGGCATATTTTAAAAGAATCCAGCAGAGGCCACTCGGAGGAACGGGAAGCGAAAGCAACCCCACGAAAGAACGCGTCCAGGAGCATCCAGGTGAACCCTGGCCCTCTCAGGGGGCCGCTCGCCATCAAAGAAAAGCTTGCCTGGAGGCAAAAAGGTCTCTGCCTGGTTGCGGAAGGGCAGCCAAGGCGGGGCCCGGACGGGGCCCCAGTGGCAGGGAGTTCCAGAGTCTAAAAGAGCCGCCTCCCGTGTCCCCGTGAGGGAGGCCCGGCTCAGCGGGGTTCGGGCGCCGGAACGCGGAGGCGGCGTCGGGAAGAGGACCCCCCCCGGTCGCCCCCGTCCCGCTCGAAGGAGGGGACGCGGGAGGGGGCCGGATAGCCGCCCCCCAACCCCCCATCCCCTTGGAGGAACGGCTGCTCCGCGGGGCGCCTGGGCCACCAGGGCGTGATCCCCTTCCGGCCCCGCCGCCGCCGCCCTGGAGCTCCCCACCACCACCACCACCAAGAGGTTCGCCGCGAGGAGCCCCGGCGCTCCCGGTCCGCCGGAAGGTGGCTTTTTCCAGGAAGGGCTCGGAAGGCTCCCTCCGGTTCCCGACTCTTCCGTTTTCTACCTCTAGGGCTTCGCGCGGCCGTCGCTCTGAGCCCCCCTCTTTCCGGCGCGGTGATGTCATCAGCAGTGGCCAGGGACTGTTGCTGGGGCAACGAGCGGGGACGCGGCTGGCGGCGGCGGCGGCAAGGATGCAGCTGCGCCACGTTCGGACTCTGCTCCCCCCGCAGGTGGGGGGGTCCTTTTTCCCTTCCCTCCCGCCCCGCTCGCTCGGAAGGAAACCGGGAGGAGGCCCCGCCGCCCGGCCCTGCGTCTGCTTCCCGGCTGAGGAGTGGACGTGGGCGACAGCGGGCGGGGAGGGGAGGGGAAGGGAGGGGAGGGGAAATAAAGCCTCTCCCGGGCGGGCGAGCGAGCGGACCCCCCGGCCTCCCTCCCGCTGACCCGCCGCCCCCGCCGCTCCGCTTCCTCCCCTCAGGACGGGGCGGCCAAGGTGACGTGCCTGGCCTGGGCCCCCAACAACGCGCGGTTCGCGGTCTGCACGGTGGACCGGGTGGTGCTGCTCTACGACGAGCAGGGCGAGCGCCGGGACAAGTTCTCCACCAAGCCGGCCGACCCCAAGGTAGCCTCCGGTCCGGTTGCAAGGGAGAGGAGGGCCCCCGCTGCCCCCAGCCCAGGAGGGGAGCCGGGAGGCGGGGGGGGGTGTCGGTCATCGGCGGGGGAAGCGAGCGAAAAAAAGGGGCTGCAGCTTCTCCTTTCGTGGGTCACAGCCCTCCCTGGGGTCGCCCCTCGACACCCTCCCGGATGGGGGAGAGGCCGAGGGAGGGGGGCCGGCACCCACCCTCTCCCGAGGGGAGATCCGCGGCCGGGGATTGCCCGCCCTGGGCCCCGGAGGCCGAGGGGCCACCATGGGGAAGGGGCTTCAGACTGTCTGGATGGAGGGGGACGCCGGGGCCGTGGGCCTGCTTCTCTTGCCCTGGTCTGGGCCAGCCTTGGGCGAGGGGCTCTGGCCCTCTCCCCATCTGGATCATTCCTCTCCTTTCCTGACCAGTATGGCCGGAAGAGCTACGTGGTCAAAGACATGGCCTTCTCCCCAGACTCCACCAAGATTGCTGTCGGGCAGAGCGATGGCATCATCTTCGTCTACAAGATTGGCGAGGACTGGTGAGGAGGATGGGGGGGGCATGAGGTCAGAGGGAGGGGAGGGGGTCTTCCTCTTGCATCTCCAGCCCCAGCGTTCTTCCTCTTCGAGAGGTGTGACATCACTTGGTAGGACTTCCTCTCAGGAGGGCCTTGTGACGCCCATACATTGCCCTCCCCAAGAGAGGTGAGGGCACTTGCTGTCCATGGCCCTGACGTTGCTGCCACCTGCAAGAGTGCATGAAACGTTGCCTGGTGGCTCTGGGTCCCCTGACGATGTGCCATCCTTCTTCCCAGGGGTGATAAGAAGGTGATCTGCAACAAGTTCATTCAGACGGTAAGATCTGGGCGCTTTTCCCGTGCACACAGGGTGCCCTCAGCGCTGCCCCAGTCTCTGGTTCAGGCAAGATGGGGGCATCTAGTTTCGAAGTCCTGCAGGGTGGTTGGGTAGAGGGACTAGCCATGGGCCCCTTGTTTGTTGAGCCTGTGCCTCTGTGTGGTTGGCACAGTGATGTACCTCAGAACTGAACAAACACAAGTGAAGTGGGAGGAGGGCGTTGGGCCCGTGTTGCTGCACATGACAGGGTCAGGGGCCAAGTGGGAGCGGGTGACGGAGTCCCGCCCAGGCCTCTCTCCTTGGCTTTGCCTCCTTAAGCTGCCTGTCATGTCAGCGGGAGCCAGACTGGGAAGGGCCTGACTCTTTCCTGCTTCTGCTGCTGGTCCCTAGAGTGCCGTGACATGTTTGCTGTGGCCAGAGGAGAACACCATCGTCTTTGGGCTGGCAGAGGGCAAGGTAGGAGAGGCCATGGGAAGAAGCCTGTCCAAGTGGATTCATTGCTTCTCTGCTCCTTGTTTTCCCTTCTGGGGAAAGATGGGAAGCTGCTCTCGCTCAATGACCAACGAGCTGGGCTTTTCTCTCCTGAAGGTTCGTTTGGCAAACTCCAAGACCAACAAGTCTTCTACCATCTACGGGACAGACTCGTATGTTGTGTCACTGGCATCCAAGTGAGTGTGTTTGTTTGCGGGCGTGGGCAGGGCAAGCCCTGGTCCTTTGTGTTGGGGTTCAGCAGCTCCACTGTCAAGTAAAACCGGGCACTGGCCTGCTTCTGCCGCTCTGGGAGGCTGTGACAAGCGCCTGCTCCTAGCCCCTGGAAGCGAGCCCTCGTACTGAAGGACGGGGTGCTCAGTGCTGATCAACTCTCTTCCTCTCCCCGCTTCCCCGTCCTGCAGCACCACTGGGAAGGGGATCCTCTCTGGGCATGCAGATGGAACCATCGTGCGCTACTTCTTTGATGACGAAGGCTCGGGGGAGTCACAGGTGCTGGCTGGCCCCCGCTCCGCTGGGACCTCCTTCCCTTGGCCAGGCTGAGAGATGGAGCATATGCGTGAGGGGGCCTTTAAGGAAACACTTCCTGCCCTGTGGTTTCCAAGCTTCCACATGAGTTTCTGGGAAAGATGAGTTCACCTTATATGAGACCTTTCACTGAGCTGAAAATGTGTCAAGAGGGCTCCTTAGCTGGAGCGTTCCCTGGGAGGAACCCCACTCTCCCATGCAGGTCCTCTCCCATGCCCATCCCTTGTGTTGCTTCTTGAAGAGTGTGCTGTTCTTTCTCATGTTCAAAGTAGGGTCAGCAAGAAACACAGGCCACCCTTGACCCAAAGGGAAGTGGGTGTGGGAAAAGGCTCATATCTTGCTGTGCCTGGGTCTCCAGCCGCCAGCTGGATGAAGCCTCACAATTATGTGTAATGGTGTTGGGTGGAGAAGGCCAGGCCCGGTCAAGCAGAAGTGCATGCAGTTAATGGGGCAACACCTGGAAAACGGGCCCAGCCAGCTCAGGAACCTGGGCTGCATCCTGTTGGGGCTAATGGCTGAAGCACGGGCTCCTACGGAGTGGGAGAGACCAGCAGGCAGAGCTTTATGGATGCTTACTGGTTCAGAACTATTTGCGTTCATTACCATCACCACCACACTCCACCCCTCCCGCAGCCCTTGAAGCCCAAAAGAAGGCTGAAACTGTCACCCCCAGAATCTGAGGTTAGGTAGCATGCCTTTCTTTGCCATTTAAGCAAAAAGCAGAAGTCTTCTAAGTCCAAGCAATAATAGGCCTGTGCCTGTGACAGTCCAGGTTGCCCGGCTGTTCTTGGCAGTCCTGGCCGGAGCATCGTGGGACAGGGATCCTCAACTGTGTACTGCTGGCAGCTCCCTCTGCCACACACACACCCCTTCATTCTGGTCTCTGGTTTTTGAGCAGGGCAAATTGGTGATGCACCCATGCCCCCCCTACGCCTTAGCCTGGGCCTCCAACAGCATTGTGGCTGCTGGATGTGACAAGAAGATCGTGGCCTACGGGAAAGAAGGGCACGTGATCCAAACCTTCGACTACAGCCGAGACATGTCTGAGAAGGAGTTCACGGTTGCGGCCACCGGTCCTGGGGGCCAGTCTGTGGTGATTGGCAGCTTTGACAGGTGGTTTTGCTGGGGCAGCGCAGAGGGGAGGGGGCTGCTGGGCTCCTCCCTTGGGGGCGGGCAGTCACTCACAGGGCCCGTCGGTTTTGCCAGGCTGCGGGTGCTGAACTGGAGCCCTCGCCGGAGTGCTTGGGAAGAAGCCAAGCCCAAGGAGATCCCAAACCTCTACACCATCACCGCCCTGGCCTGGAAGCGGGACGGCTCACGACTCTGTGTGGTGGGTTTTCAGCGCTGCAACAGCAAGCGGCAGCCCGTGGCCAGACCGTGGTCCATCACGGTGGCTCTTCTGCGAAGCCTGCCAGCCCACCTTTCCACTGGGCAGGGCATTTCCTCCAAGTCCATCCCTGGGAGGGCAGGCAGGCAGGCAGGCAGGCAGGGTGGCCGAAGGGCTTGCCTGAAACGAGCCTTGTTTCCCCAGGGCACCCTGTGTGGGGGAGTGGAGCAGTTTGACTGCTGCTTACGCAGGACCATCTACAAAAACAAATTTGAGATGACCTACGTGGGCCCAAGCCAGGTACGCCAGGTGGTGGCGGTGGCGGGGGAGGGGTAGCTTGTGCTGAACACTTCGAAAGACGGGGCTGTCCTCAAAGTATGGAGCAGACAGGGGACTTTTCCTTTGCCCAGGTCATAGTGAAGAATCTCTCCACGGGGATGCGGGTAGTGCTGAAGTCCCACTACGGGTATGAAATTGATCAGGTGAAGATCCTGGGCAAGGAGCGCTACCTGGTGGCCCACACCTCAGACACCCTGCTTCTCGGCGATCTCGGCTCCACCAAGCTCAGTGAGGTAGGGGGCGGTGCAGGTGGTTGGTTGGAAGGCCACGGGTGGCATGGCCAGGCAGGCCAGGCTGGGCCAAGGGAGGGGATTGCAGGGGGCAGCTTGAGGTGTGGCCGGCTGTGAGTTTGGCGGCTGAGGTTTGCAAGGGAGGGCCTGCCCGTGTAGAAGAGATGCTCCACGAGCCGCTTTGGCTTCCGCAGGACATGAAGAGGCCTCTGTAAGCTCGGGCCTCATCGTCCAGAGGCTGTGGGAGGAGGGGAACACCTCTGCTCTTTGGAGAGACCGATCGCCTGCCATTCTTGCCCTGCCCCGCCCCTGGTTTGCAGCCCCTTCTTTTTCCAGGGCCTGCCTTGGCAAGGGGACTGTTGGGGGAAGGGCATCTCTCCCTGCCCCCCCACCCCCTTCTGCCTTGGTGTTCTGTCTGCTGCAGAGGGGCTTCCAGGCTCTGTTTGGTGCACAGCCTTCCCTTTGCCGCAGCGCAGCTGCCCCTGAGGCTGTGATGGCAACTGGTCCTTTCCTTCTTCCCTGCAATGGTAACTCAGGCCAGACGCTGAGAGCTTTTCTCATGAGAGCCCCTTTCTAACTGGTCTGGCCAGCATCTCTCCAATGCACCACCAAAAGAGGTTCTCAGCAGCAGCATCGCTGGAGTACCTTCCCTGGGTGGACTGTGGTTTCTGCAGAAGAATCAGGGGTGGTGGCATTCCCCTGGGGCCAGCCGTTGCCTGGGTCCCGATGATGTCATTAACTGCCCACTTAGCTGGGCTGAGCCCTGGTCTCGTTGGCAGGGCATGTAGGGGAGCTGGTGGCCATGCAGCTGACAGGTGGGCGGTGAAGAACCGCAGGTCCCAGCAAAGGCCTGAGCAGCGCATAGGGTTCAGAGTTAATGGTTCTGTGGGGTGGTGGTGGCAGAGGGTTATGCCCCAGTGCGTCTCTGATGCTGAGCATGTGTGAGGGAGATGGTCCTGGTGTGGAGGATGATGGGCACAGTCTGTTTTTTTTTTTCTTTTTCAGGTGGCCTGGCAAGGATCGGGTGGGAACGAGAATTTTTTCTTTGACAATGAGAACGTAAGCAGGGGAGGGAAGGGGTTGCCTGTCTGTTTCTGGATGGGGGGGGGACAGAGAGAGGCGCCTGCCTTCTTTTTCTTTTGGGGGGGGCGTTACTTCCAGCTGAGAAGCCTCTGCGGGGCTGCTCGCTACCCTTTCCCTGCCCAAGGTTTCTGCAGCCAGAGGTGGAGAACTGCAGCTGGGCTTCTTCTCCGCAGAGGTGGCCCCCCCACCCCCACCCAGACCTTCTGCCGCCCACAAGGTCCCAGCAGCAGCGGCAGCAACTTCTCCCTCCTCTGGCTCTAGGTCTGCATGATCTTCAACGCGGGGGAGCTGACTCTGGTGGAATACGGCAGCAATGAGATCCTGGGCTCTGTGCGCACGGAGTTCATGAACCCTCATCTCATCAGGTGAGTCTCCCAGGCAAGACGTCTGGGGGGTCGGAGGAAAGGGCCGCCCCCCCCTTCTCTTCTGGCTTCTCTAGCTTCCCTGCCTTGGTTCTCGCAGCGTCCGCATCAATGAGAGGAGACCTCGAGGTGCGGAGGAGAGCAAGCGGCTGGCCTACCTGGTTGACATCAAGACCGTTGCTGTGGGTG